AAAAAAAACCATCTACCATAATAGAGATATCACGTGCTTCAGACCTCTGACAGCCATGATCCCGATGATATACCACAAAATGTGACAAATTTTAATTCTAAAAAGGCTTGTGTAGGGCCAGACTGACAGGAATTCATAGCACCAACATCATTAACAATTTATATTGCACCCATTCAATATACGGTTGCCATCAAAGCAACGGAGATACAACTAGAGATAGAAGTAACTTCTGGTAAAACAGCAGGTTACCTGTTCAACTTTCCTACAAGTGCTTCTGGTTCTGGAAAGGAAAACCACCGGCCACCCACTTTGGTCCTGAAGATTCTGGGCTGTGAATCTTCAAAGGGTAAGCTCCGGGTGAAGATATGGTTCAAAGCACCTTCTACATGAAAGGACTTGTCTTGACTCCTGGCAAAAACAGTCACCAAGTATGGAGTCAGTGAGTCTTTTCTCTTTCTTTCTCTTCTTTCTTTCTTATTTATTTATTGCCATTTTTTAAAAAGCAAGTATCTCTAGGGACCAAAGCAGGAAATTGGTAGGGGAAAGTCTGCCTATGAGATTTTCTTCATTATTAGTGAAAGAAATGAAAAAGGCTCAGACCTCTGTTATTACTTACCTATATCCAGTGCACTTGTACCCTGGCACAGCCTCACAGCTGAAAGGATGCACGTCACTTAAAATGAATCCCCCCAGAGCTGCCATGGCAACTACTTGCCAACTGTTATGCCATTCTCTTGTGGGCTTATCAGCAGGAGTCCCACCTTGTCCTCTACACAATGCCACATAGACTTCTCCTTCCGGTGCGAGAACATCTTTACAGCTAACGGGGAGGAGGACACCAGCATTTTATCAAAACCAGTTGAAATTACCATAGGAAATAAGCTGTATACACATGGTTTGGCTGTGAAATAATTAAAATCCTATCATATCTATTTACAAAGGTCCACAGACTTCAAACCTGCAAAGGAAGCAGCTGGAAGTAAGAATGTAAAATCAATGTTCAACTCATAACTGATACTCGCGGCTGACCAGGGTATTATCTGGCTTTGTATCTGCAGTGTTCATCATAAACAGGTCATAGAAAGGTCAATATCTGCAAAGTTCCTATACACGATTCATTTCCCAGTTTAGGGAGTTGTTCTTGTAAATTCACTTCCCTTCCTGACTATTAAAATTCTATACTTCAAATACTAACTTGAAATCTTGGCTCTGTGAAAAGTTTCTTGACAACTGTGACCTCCCCCCACCCCCAGAGACCTCCAATAGTATCACATGTTTTGGTAGAATAGTGTAAAGCACAGTTTTTAGTTCACGATAATTTGACGTAGTTACCATTAATATCCTATCCTGTTTATGGATGAAGAGGCACAAGTATGTAAGGATCAAGTAAGCTTACCCCAAATCACACAATTACTAAGAGGTGGGTGGGGATTTGAATCCAGGCAGTTTGGCTCCTAAACCCATGCTTTTAGCCATTACATTATACTGGCTACCGTTATTTTGCATTATCCAAAATAGGTGATCCTCCCCTTACAAGCCCAACTACTATGTGTACTTTTATGTAACTTTTAGGGTTATATGCCTGCCCTTCCAACTAGATTGTGGATTCCTTTGGAGCTTTATTTTCTCTCTAAACCCATCATAGTAACTTACACACGTATGCCTTATTTCCCAAACTAAAATGTTTCCAGTGCAGTAACTATGTCATGTACATCTTCAACATGTTACTTGTGAGTGCTCTCATTTCCTCACCTCTGGAAAAACTTGGCAAGCAGTTCCCTGTTCTTAGCAACTCCAGCTTTGCGTCCACAGTGAGGAAAATTAAAATAAATCCGATCAAACTCCCTGTGGTGCAGTTCAAAGGCATCTGCCAGCTGGGTGCAGTCCACACCAAAACGCACCTCAGTACCTGGCACGAAATACAGACAGGAAGATGTCTCAAGGCCTGAATCCCTCCCTAACGTGAACCGTACAAAACAACCCAGGTGGAAACCCACAGGCTGCTTTTAGGAAACCGGACGCTCAAATGCAATTAAAAGCCCCGTCCATTCCACTTCTGGCCCGGCCGGCAGCGGGGCGGGGCTTCGCGGAGGGGTTTGCTTCGCTACCTCGCTCGCGCAGGCGCTGCAGATTCTCCTGGGCCACCGGATCTCCGGCCAAGTCGGCCGGGCGCTGGAGGCAGGTGGCGGTTACACTGGTGCTGTCGTCCAGGGTCTCGCTCAGGGCCGCGGCGAAGGAGAAATTCCCCTCCCCAACCAACAGGAGGCGCCGAGGGGCCATGGCCTTAACGTGCTCCCCTCTCGCGTCCTCCGAGGCGCCAGTTTCTTACGTCACTTCCTGTGGGGGGGGTGGTCTCTGGCGGGCCACCTCTTTTTGTGTCGCTGATTGATGATGCGCCGGCAGCGTCTAGTGGTGTTGACAAACTGGTACAGCGACTGGGAGGGAGGGGGATGAAATAGCTATGAGCGCAAAAGTTAGACACGGACCACCCTGCCTCCTCATTCCGCACACCCTTAGGAGTGTCGCAATAAATGCCTTTTAGCCCGAGGCTGCCCTGAGCGACTTCGTCACATCTGCATGAGGTCACAAGCAATCACTAGCGCAGAGGGGCAGGCCCGGGGCGAGGCGAGTTCGGAGTGAAAGACGCGCGGCGGGGCTGAGGTCGAGAGGTTGGGCTGTGTCCTGCAGGTTACTGTCAACACAGGGTTTTATAACAGCCTTCCACTCGTCCGAAATGGCTGCTGCTCACTCTCTCTGCTGCTCGGGATTTCTCCAGGTGCTTCTATCTCCTACCTTTTTTTCATTCAAGAAATACTGAGTGGCTGTTACGTGCCAGACCTTGATGGAGGCTAAACACATGGGTGAATAAGGTGTGGCCTATGATTTCACGGAGCTTGTAGTCTGGCGGAGACTGCACGGCAAAAGAGGCAATTCTGCTACAGCGGGAAGCGATGCTATGAGTGGAGTCACAGAAGGTTTTAGAACCTTACCGAGTTCTGGGATGAAGTGGAAAGATACCCTAAAGGAAGTGAATTTGAGTTGAAAGCTAAGGGGGAAGTGCACCTGACCTGGATAAAGAGAAGTGAAGAGACAGAAGGAACAATATATGCAAAAGCGTGATAGAGAAACACATTAGATGAGTTTGGCTGAAATGTAGTTGGAGGGAGAGTGAGTAGTAGGTGAGACTGAAGCGTTAAGCAGGGGCCAGGTCATATAGAACATCGTAAGCCATTTTAACAGCCTGAATCTTATTCCGAAAACAGTGGCCAGCCACTGAAAGATTTTAAATAGGAAGAGGACACAAAAAGACTTGCATTTTCACACATTCTTCGTTCCTGTGGAGAAAGGATTGGAGAAGACCAAGGCTGACGGCAAAGACATGAGATAGGCAACTATAGCAATAATGGTGACAAGAACTGGTAGTGATCTAAACTGGAACTTGGCAGTGGGGATGGAAGTGAACTGATTAAAAAATCAGTTAAGACTTAGGTACTGAGTGGATGTAAGGGCTTGAAAGAGGAATCAAAGATAAGCCTCAGGTTTGGGGCCTAGACAACTGAGTGGATGGTGATGTCTGTCCTGATGGCCCCAAGGACAGTGTCACCTTGGTCTACAGTCTGAATACTAGGCTTGTCAGACTTTGTGGGACCAACTACTCTTTAGTCACCATGCTGTTTGTTGACATCAGTGCATGCATCTATCTTCACAAAGGCACATAGTGTGAGGGCAACTACCTTCAAAGTTGCCGTATTGGCTTTGCCCCTACTTGTGGAAAGGTGGCTCAGTGGATTGTAACTCCAAAATCATGGCTTCCTGGCCATGGTGATCTGGATGACCTACATTCTTTCGTTGCTTGGAGAATGGGAAATGCTGGGTTTGGTGATATCTCTTCCTTCAAAAAAATGGAAGAGCTGAATAAGATTTTCTATCACTGTCCTATGAAATCTTCAAACAACACAAGCCACTCAACATCAAAATGGTCTTCAGCGAAGGTACTGTCTTGCCCCCAAGTCAAGGGACCACAGCCACCTTTTGGCCCAAAATAAAAATGGCTAGGCTTTTGCTTCCTCACAAAAAATTGAAATTCAGACATTAGTCATCTGAATGTGCAAAGCACTGTTGATGGGAGGGCAGGTGAAGGGAGAGGGTGTGATAATAAGATACAGGTCTTGTCCTCAAGGGATGTACACGGTTTAACCAGCATAGGATATTCAACACAAACTTCCAACACACATTTGAAGAACTCTAAAATACGGTAGAAAGTTAAAGATATGAGGATATCATTGTGTGTGAAACAAAGGAGAGAGAAGTTAACTTGAGGAAAGACATCATGGAAGAAGTGGCATTTGGCCTGAGTCCAGAAAGAAGGAAGCTATCACTTACTGAACATTTGTTGTGTTAATCTAGTTTTCTAACTCTCACTTCTGCCTCTTCTCTTTGACTATACCACTGTTCTCTGTCTGTAAACTCTTACATCTCAAAATCTCCTGAACATTTACCTAGTTTTCCATATATATTGGGATCCTGAAGGTTTTCCTCTTTTGAGCGTGCCATTCAATATATATAGCCCTCTGCTACTTTTGATTGAAAAGGTAGGTCAGAGGATTCATGGACCAGGAAGGAAAGAAACAGAACCACAACTAAATTGGGAGGGGAGCACAGATCCTTAGTAAGGTGTGCTTATGTATGCTTGGCTGTAGGTGAGAAAGGGATGAATGCCTTTTCTGTGCCCTAGTTTATGCAACTATCTTTTCTGTTTTTGCCTTTTCCCAGAGACAAGCCCTTGCCTACTTCTTTGCAAACCCACACTATGGCAGCATCATTAATGCAGACGGCCATGCTGAAGTGTGGACAGATTGGAATAGTATGTCCAAGTTTTTCCAGTATGGATGGAGATGTACCACTAATGAGAATACCTATTCAAACCGTACCCTGATGGGCAACTGGAACCAGGAAAGATATGACCTAAGGAATATCGTGCAACCCAAACCTTTGCCTTCCCAGGTAATTTAAGCTTCCCCTGTTTCCTTCTGTTAACAAAAGAAATACCAGTGGCCGTTTTAGAGGTAGGAATCTGATAACTTCCTTGCTGAGATATCTGAGGCTTCTCTGTTCATTGAGGTGGTTGGGAGTGCATAGCAGTCTTCAGCTGGAACTCCTATCATATTTTACTATGAAGTAGAATATTAAAGTAATAAAAGAAGGGGTACTCTTTTTCTCTTGATTCTCTTTGACTTTATTCATCAACATAAATATGTGTCTTTTTTTTTTTAATTTTTTTTTCAACGTTTATTTATTTTTGGGACAGAGAGAGACAGAGCATGAACGGGGGAGGGGCAGAGAGAGAGGGAGACACAGAATCGGAAACAGGCTCCAGGCTCTGAGCCATCAGCCCAGAGCCTGACGCGGGGCTCGAACTCACGGACCGCGAGATCGTGACCTGGCTGAAGTCGGACGCTTAACCGACTGCGCCACCCAGGCGCCCCTAAATATGTGTCTTCTAACTCAGGCTGTCTACCTGCATTTCATTTATCTGCATCTTGCCCTGGAATCTTTCCTAAACACACAAACACATAAAGGACATGAAAGTTAGTACAATGTAGACTGACAACATATAGACCTCTAGTCGATCCAAAATATAATAGACCCCATTAGGATTCATGTCATTGTGTCCTTTATTTCCCAGTATTAGGTGTAGACTCCTGTATTTTTAATTGATTACCTTTTCTTTCCAGTTTGGACACTACTTTGAAACAACATATGATACAAGCTTTAACAACAAAATGCCACTTTCAACACATAGTAGGTGGACTATTCTTTACAATCCTTATATTCTCAGGACCTAACTCAGTGCCTGGAATGTAGAAGAAACTCTGATGAAAGTAAACTGAGTGAGTGAAGAAGTGAATGACTGAGTGAATGATTTCTCTCTTTTCTCAGTTCTGACAGGACTCCCTAGACTTCCTTCTCTCAGAAATAAGAGTGAAGCCAATTACTAAGGCTCCTCGTTGTTGACTGATTCCACTTGACCTTCCTTCTCTTTTCTCTTCCCTCAGGATTTAAGCGAGAGCCTCACTCGTTCCCAGGACATCAACCTGAGCTGGATCCTCCTGGATACAAATGCACAGAAAAGTCAACTTACATGACTAGCTACTCAGACCCTCAAACTGGGCATGACTCTGCATGTGTGTGGAATCCTAATAACTGCCGACTTAAGGAGCCAGGATTCTAAGAAGGAATAAGAGACTTCATTTTTCCAGAATAGATTGTAGGAGGGAGCATATTCTAAGCACAACTAAGAATCTAGCTGATGAGAGCACAATTTCACAATCTGAATAAAGAAAGCACGGAGAATATTCCCTACCCCCTTTTTTGTTTGTCCTAATCAAGATTTAAATGTCAAATTTAAGTTCGTTGCATCGGCTCTTAGGTCTACATTACGAGGTAGTAGGAGAAGATTCAAAAGAAGTATTTCAAATCTGCAACCACTTTGCTCTTCCCTGCCTTCCATTCATGGCAGACCTGCAAAATCCAGCATAAGGTTATGTCTGGCTAGATGCTTCCTGAATGTGAGCCTGGCATTCACAGTCAGTGTAACTTCTTTGTGACCTTAGTGAACATCCCCTCTTAAGAACTAGAAAAGGAAAAACAACTTTTTAAAAATATTATAGTGAATTTAAAACGTGCAAAATTAGACAGAATAGTCCAGTGAACTCCCATCACCCAGTGTGCACAATTTGACCAGTCTTAACTATTCGTATCTACTTTCTCTATTTTTTTTAATTAATTTTGGAGCAGATCTCACAAATTATATCATGTTGTCTGTCAAGATTTCAGTATGTATCTCAAAAAGATAAGGACTGTAGGTGTTTTATTCCTTCACAGAGACCATCACAGAAACCTCCTCATCAAACAAAGCTGAGTTTCTAAGCCTGCAGCAAACAAGAGCAACTTGACAAAATCTTGGAGAGAATTCAAAAGGGGAATGTTGTGAGGGTAGAGGGTATTTTTAGAGACTTGGGGTTACTTTAAGATGGGTCTTGCAAAGCGGGGAACTGGTAGGGATTGAGATAAGATTTGGGACTAGTCCAGGGTTAGTGTGCACAGGGAGGAAAGAGTTTTAATACAGTTAAACTTACCAATATTTTACTTTTTTATTTTGTTTCCTGTTTATTATGACAATATAACATATGGGAGAGGTCTCCCATATATTTCCTCCCAAACCTTAATTATTTTATGTTACAGACACAGATATGGAATTTACGCCATATGTGTATATGTATATAGTTAGGTCGTAACTAAGTTTCGTTTTTTTCTATGTGACTGTCCAGTTTTCCCAGCATTAATTATTGAAAAGACCGTACTTTCCCCACTGCTCTCCTATGCCATTTTTATTGTAAATCAACTGTATATACTTAGACCTCTTTCTGGCTATTACATTCCATTGGCCTGTCATTGCATATGCTAGCTTAGCCACAATGCCTCTCTATCATAATTATGATAATTTTGTAAATCTTGATATCTAATAAATCAGATAACTTCACCTTGTTTTTCTTCAAAAGTGTGTTAGTTATTTTTAACCCTTTGCAGTTCTATACAAACCTTAGGGTCAGCTTGTCAAGTTTCACAAAAAGATACTGGTAAGGTATTGGTGGAAACTGCATTGCATTGTTGAATTTGAGTTATTCTGTCTTATTAATTCTAATTCATTGGTATGTGTTCTTGCAATATTAATAATATTTGGCACGTATTTTTGCACATATATGTGTTATATATCCTATTCTGTTTCCTGTGTATCCAGTATGTTTTTTAATTTGTGGTAAAATATATATAACATAAACTTACCATTTTAACTATTTTTAAGTGTACAATTCAATGCCATTATGTATATTCACAGTGTTGTACAATTATCACCGCTGTCTATTTCCAGAACTTTGTCATTATCCCAAACTGAAGCTCTGGACCAATTGAACATTGACTTCTCATTTCTCCCTTCTCCTAGCCCCTGGTAACCATTGTTATACTCTCTGACCCTGAATTTCCACTTATACGTGGAGTTATGTCACATTTGTCCCTTTGTGTCTGGTTTATTTTGTTTAGTATGTTTTCAGGGTTCATCCATATGATAGCATACCTTCCTTTTAAGACTGAATAATATTCCATTATGTATTTACTACATTTTGCTTCTCCATTCATCCGGTAGGGATACTTGGGCTGTTTTCACCTTTTGCCTATTGTGTGTAATACTGTTATGAACATGGGCGTACAAGTATCTGTTTGAGTCCCCACTGTCAATTCTTTTGGGGATACACCCAGAAGTGGAATTGCTAGCTCATATGGTCATTCCATGTTTAACGATTTGGAAATGCCCAACTGTTTTCCACAGTGCCCGCGTTTTTTTTTTCCAATCCCACTAGCCATGCACAACAATTCTAAGTTTGCCACATCCTTAACAACATGTAATTTGTTCTTTTGTTTTTGTTTTTATAATAACCATCCTAGTGGGTGTAGAATGGTCTCTGTTGTGGTTTAGATTTACACTTCCCTAATGGCTAGTGATCTTGAGCATCTTTTCATGTGCATTTAGCTATTTCTTTGGAGAAATGTTTATTCAAGTCCTATGCCGTGCCCATTTTTGAATTGAGTTGTTGGCCTTTTTGTTGTAGGAGTTCTTTATATACTCTGGATATTAATTCCTAATCAGATATAGGATTTGCAAAAATTTTCTCTACCATTCTGTGGATTAACCTTTCACTCTCTTGATGGTGTCCTTTGATACACAAAAGTTTTCAATTTTGATGAAGTCCAATTTATCTTTTTTTCTTTTGTTGCCTAAACTTTTTGTGTCATATCCAGAAAATCATCACCAAAGTCAATGTTATGGAGTTTTTTCCATGTTTTCTTCTAAGATTCTACAGTTTTCACTCTTATAATTAGATCTTTGATCCTCTTGGAGTTAACTTTCTTTTTTTTTGAAAGAGAGAGAGAGAGGAAAGGAGGGGTAGAGCGAGAGAGGGAGAGAGAGAATTCCAAGCAGGCTCCACAGTGTCAGCTAAGAGTCAAATGCCAGGGTGGAACCCATGAACTGTGAGATCATAACCTGAGCTGAATCCAAGAGTCAGACACTTAACCAACTGAGCCACCTAGGTACCCTGAGTTAACTTTTTTGGTTTTTTTTTGAGAGAAAAAGACAGAGGTGGGGGGGGTGGTGGTCAGAGACAGAGGGAGAGAGAATCCCAAACAGGCTCTGCACTATCAGTGCACAGCCCAATATGGTGTTCGATCTCACAAACCATGAGATCATGACCTGAGCCCAAATCAAGAGTCAGATGTTTAATCAACTAGGCCACCCAGGCGCCCGCTGAGTTAACTTTTTCTATGGTAGTAAAAGTCCAACTTCATTCTTTTGCAGGTGGATGTCTAGTTACCTTAGCATCATTGGTTGAAAAGACTGTCTTCTCCTTCCCCTTTGAATGGACGTGGTATCTTTGTCAAAAACCATTTAACCATATACATGACGATTTATGTCTGGCCTCTGTATTCTATTCCATTGGTCTATATATTTTTGTGGTGATACCACAGTGTTTTTGATTACTGTAGTTTGTAATAAATTTTAAAATTGGGACGTGTGAGTCTTCCAACTTTGTTCTTTTTATTTATTTTTTAATTTTGGAATTTTATTTAAATTTTAAAGAGAGAGCGTGAGCGGGGGAGAGAGGCAGAGGGGGAGAGAGAGAATCCCACCGAGCAGGCTTCACACTTAGCATGGAGCCCGACACAGGGCCTGATCCCACGACCCTGGGATCATGACCTGAGCCAAAATCAAGAATCTGATGGTCAACCAACTGAGCCATCCAGATGCCCTTTGTTCTTTTTAAAGATTATTTTGGCTATCCAGGGTCCCTTGATATTCCATATGAATTTTAGGGTAAATTTATTCACTTCTAAAAAATTATTGAAATTTCTGTAGGGATTGAAGTGAATCTGTAGATCAGTTTATCTAGTATTGATATATTAACAATATTAAGTCTTCTAATCCATGAACATGTGATGTCTTTCCATTTGTCTGTGTCTTTCATTCAGCAATGTTTTATTGTTTTCAGTGTGCAAGTCTTTTGCCTTTTTTGTTAAGTTTATTGCACAGTATTTATTTTATCCTTTTTTGATGCTATTGTGAATAGAATTGTTTTCTTAATTTCCTTTTTGGATTATTCTTTGCTAGCATATAGTAATGTAGCTGATTTTTGTGTGTTGGTTTTATATCCTGCAACTTTGCTGTATTTGTTTATTAGTTCTAGAGGCTGTGTGTGTGTGTGTGTGTGTGTGTGTGAAATCTTTAGGGTTCTTTACATGTAAGATCATGTCATCTGTAAACAGAGATAATTTTATTTCTTCTTTTCCACTTGCAATGCTTTTCTTTTTCTTGCCTGATTGCTCTGGATAGAACTGCCAATAATATATTGAAAGAAGTGGTGAGAGTGGACCTTCGTGTCTTCATCCTGATGTTAAAGGAGAGACTTTCAGACTTCACCACTGAGTATGATTTTAGCTATGGGTTTTTCATATATGGTCTTTATTTTGTTAATGTAATTTCCTGTTATTCCTAGTTGAGTGGGTTTTTTTAAAGTTTATTTATTTATTTTGAGAGAGACAGAAAGAGTGCGAGCAGGGGAGGGGCAGAGAGAGAGAGACAGAGAGAGAGAGAGAGACAGAGAGAGAGAGAGAGAGAGAGAGAGAGAGAGAGTCTCAAGCAGGCTCCACACTGCCAACACAGAGCCCTATGCAGGGCTAAGTGTCACGAACTGTGAGATCATGACCTGTGCCAAAATCAAGAGTCAGATGCTCAACCGACTGACCACCCAGGTGCCCCCCTAGTTGAGTGTTTTTATTATGAAAAGATATTGAATTCTGTCCAATGTTTTTCTGCATCATTTGAGATTATCATGGGTTCCCCACCCATTCTGTTCATGCGGTATATTACATTTATTTTTATATATTGAATCAACTTTGCATTCCAGGAATAAATCTCACTTGGTTGTGGTATACAATCCTCTTAATATGTTGCTGAATTCAGTTTGTTAGTATTTTGTTGATTTTTGTATCAATATTCACAAGAGATTAGTCTGTAATTTTCTTTTCTTTTAAT